TCATGTAATTGAATGTTGAGTTTCTTGGTGAATTAAGAAGCTTGAGGAAGTGGTTTTCTTCCTGGTTATAATCTGTAGTTTACTTCTTGCTGCTGGTTATTTTCTTGCTGGTTTATATATGTTTTCTTCTGCCTTTTCATCTTGCAATTGCTGGTGCTATTTTCCTTATGTTATCTGCATTAATCATGGGCTGTGGGGGAGGTAAATTCCCAACAGTTTTGTTTGTCGTTACTTTAAAATTTATGAAAGGTTCGATACTTTGTGACGAACAGAACTGAAATTTTTTACATCAAAAAAAAAAAAAAAAAAATTTGAATTGCGTGTGCACAAAACCTATCGAAAGTGTTAATCCATTTAATGATATTTGTTTATAGTCAACGTGTCAAGTTAATTGGTGTATTTGTTCTGGAGTAAAAAATAATAGCTTTTTGCAATAAATTCACAATTTGTATCTCATATTTGTATGCTTTGTACAAATAGTTGGTGTAGAGTTGGGTCCAACCACTTGTACAGTTTAGTCGAGGTCGAGCAAGGTCCGACCTTGTAACTTGGTCGAGGTTGAGCAAGTTGTGACCTTATTACTGCCGACCTTGCATAATAAGGATAAAAACAAAGTTTGTGAATGAGAAATAAATTACTTATAATATAGAATAACAAATAAATGAATCACTTAATTGTCAATATCTTATAGAATAGGATAACTTATGCAATTGTCAATTGGACCACTAATTAGAGTATAAATGATTTGATAAAACCATTTAATATGCGAACTAAACATCAAAGAAAACAGTTTTTCAAATCAAACCATTTAAAACGGTTTGATAAAGCTCCAAACCAAACCAAATTGTTTCAATATGCGAACTAAACATCAAAGAAAATTTTCCTCCAATTTCAAAAATTCTAAAATTGTTACGCAATATCTAAGAATAAAGAAATATCCTTAACTATTAAACAAATTACCAATTATAAGTGAAAACACAAGGCAAAGTGAACAACCAAGTTAAGTAAGATTCATTAATGATTTTGGGTAATTTTTAATTTTTTTTAATAAAGTTCAATCCAAAAATAAGCAAAAAGAAAAAAAAAAAAAAAAACCATATTTTTATGTATTGAGAAAATCTATAGCTCGTGCACCTGTGACTTTGTTTGGCAATTAGAATTGGGCAATCAGAATGTTTGGTCATTCAAGTAGGTATGCCCTTATTGTATTTGTAATTAGTCATTTGATAAGCATAACTTTAGTTTACTAAAAAATTTAAAATTTAAAATGTCTTATTTGTGGCCTTAAACCTTCTCTCAAAATGTCTTATTTGTAACTTTATCTTCGGTTTGATTTCAAACGATTTTTCAATTATCAAACCTTTTAGAATAATTTGGTTGAGGTCAAAATCAAAATGTTGACAAGTCCACGAGAATCCAAACAAATAGTTTCATAGAGATGGTTTCAATGCGTGTTGGCAGGCTGATGATTTTTTTCTTACACCCTTATCAATATCTTGGAAAAATTATATAATTGTCAAAAAATCGAAAATAGGAAACAAAGTATGCAATTATTCTTCTAGTCTAATATAAGAAAAGTAAAATTACGGAGAGGAAATACATAAATTATTAAAGTCACTAATAAATTATCCAATAATTTAAAATAAGGTTTTTTTTTTTAATATGTTGTAAAATTATGATATATTTCTTAATATTTCTCTAATCTTGCTACAATATATAAATAAGGATTACTTATTCTATAATATATGAGTCTATTCAAATTATAAATACGTAACCCTATATATAGAGGTCATTATTACAAAGAAATACATTTGAGCTCTAGTTCGATCACATTTTTCTCTCATTTTTCAACCACATATTTTTCAATAAAATAATATTGCACGCATTCCTTATTTTTTAACTACATTTTCTTCATCAATTTACTATTTTAAAATATATTATACACTAAAAATGAGACTCAAACAGACCTTGAATTTTGACTTTATCTCTTGTCTTATTCTTATACTTCTTTATATTTTTATAACACGTTATCAAAATGAAGTAGCTCATCAAAATACAGAGAAAATTCGGATCAATAGTGTAAAAAATCGTAGAAACTAGACGGCGCAACTATGATCAAAAGATGATATCTCATAGCTTCATCGGCTGATCATCGTGAAATTTGAACAATAAGTTCACAAATTATTTATGTTCAAATCCAACTGTTAAGATCAAGATCTAATGGCTCATTCACGAGAAACTAATTGAAGATCTTGTAGGAGATATTACACCAATAA